TGCCAGGACTGATTCTGGCAGCACTTCACCCCATTGGCTGCGATAATCCTCCAGCTTTCCCTGTTACTAATGAAAGGATATGAAGGGTATTGCCACTAGAGGTTTTCCTATGCAGTAATATAAAACACTGCCTTTTCTATGAAAAGTGTTTACATTAAAATGTCTGAAGGGACAGGCTATATACACTAGAGCAACTACATTAAGCTGTAATTGTTCTGGTGACTATAGTGTTCCTTTAATAGTTTGCATTTCACTATAGGGTCAGGAACACAAACATGTATTCCTGACCCTATGGTGAAAACCCACCATTTAGGTAGTTTGTCGTCCCCCCCCCCCACCTTAGCTCCCTCAGAATGGGTTAAAACTCACCTTATTTTGAATCAATGCAGCGTCTCCAATTCAGCGTCTCCGTGCAGAGCGTGGGGATGCTAAACGTCAGGGCTGCTTACTGTGCAGCACTGAGCCAGGAAGCCCCTCCTGTGGCCATCTGAGGATTGGCCACTTGGAGGTGTGCCTAGGGGCAATGTAAACACTGCCTTTTCTCTGAGAAGGCAGTGTTTACATGAAAATGCCTGAAGGAAGCTAATATACTCACCAGAAAAACTACATTAAGCTGTAGTTGTTCTGGTGACTATAGTGTCCCTTTAAAGTTGATCTAATTTTGCTATAATTCTTTTGTGATAGCTGTGGTACAAGATTGCCACCTAGTGGATGCTCAAGTGAGAGTTATTGGCCACCTGTATGGCAACTTACTAACAGAAGTCACCATTACCAAAATCAGTATTGCTCAACTCATTTCTTGGAGTGTGTATAATGAATTAAAGCCAGAGTAGCAACAATAAATAGTAAATTAAACATAACAAGTGTAACTATATTTCAAATATACAAAGGCTGAAAATAAAATGTACCAGAAAAATCCCTTAACTAAAGATTTTGTTCTTAGCAGGTTAAAAAGGCTTCTGTAACAAATAGTTGATGGTGTGAAAAGAGATAGATGTACATTACCAAACAAACAAAACAAAAAACATGTTAAAACCAAGACTTGACATTCGTGCAAAGCATAAGTGGCCATCCATTGATTTACAAGTACAAAAAAAATGTGTAAACCTCTTTATATTATAAGAAAAGAAAAAAAAAGAGAGAGAGAATACAGAGTGTAAATAAAAAAAATCCTACACCCCTGCTATAAGATTTACACGCTGAAGAACACGGTTATATTGCTTTCAAATGTGAGTAATATTAACACCAACCTCTACCAACTGCTCTTTATAAGGTAACAGGCCGTACTATTTAAATTTTTTGTAATTTAAAAAAAAAAATCCTCTATGTATAAACATATTGAAAATGAACGTAGTGGGATTTGATGTTTTCTTCTGACAACTTCATGAAATGGATACAGTGCACTGTAGCTATCAGAATAAAACCTGTATTTGTAACGCTATAGTACAATAAATCTACAACTTAAAGTTGTTAGTAGACCTAAGATGCACGTGTCGCAAGCACATCCAATGCTTCTAAACCTTTAATTCAGTGCTTTCCAATGAGCTGTCGTGTCACATGACCGAGTTTTAATGACATGACCTCTGCACCCAGTCCACTGCTTTGAGATGAAGTGGTCTAGGTCAGTTACATATTTACATAGCTAAAAAAAAGAGACTTGCGTCCATCAAGTTCAGCCTACCTCACATTTGTTTTTTGCTGTTGATCCAAAAGTGTTCTCCAACCCAGTCCTCCTGGACCACTAACAGTCCATGTTTTTTGTCAGTACCTCCATTGGAATAAAACAGGGAAATACATAAATCATGGACTAGGTAACACTAGCGGTCCTTTAAGAACACAAGGAACACTAGCTACCCCAGGAACGAACGCAGGATCCAATAAAATATCAAATCATCAATTATTCCATTCACAAAGCTTAAAGCAGGTAGTATCAGCCAAATACCACAATGAAAACAAACCACAATACGTGTTTCATGTGACATGTACTTGATCACAGATGATTAATAAATTATTTATTTAATATTTTGTTGGATTCTGAGTTGGATTCTGAGATCATTCTACATCTATTCATTAGGAAGCAGGAACTCCCTCTATACTAGGGTTTAGGCTTGTTCCTGCCTGAGCTCCACAATTGATGTGTTGCTGGTGGTGAGTGTTTGCTGTTGGGGGTAATCTTGACTTTAACTGTAGATGTGGCATTTTCTTGGACCCCACGTTTTGGATTGTCTGCTTATTGTGCTTATTGCACTTAAAGATAAAAACAATATATCTTTTTGCTTTCACAATGCCTTTCTTACTTTTTGCAGCCACAAATATTTCATTTTGTTTATCACGAGAATAGAGAGCAATTATATATCTATAATTACCTTTAGTGAGTGAAGAGAAAAACAAGTGGACATGCTGTGACAAGAATTTCATATTTTAGAAGACAAATATACCCGCAACATAATTTTATCTACCATTTATCCATCATTGCTACATATTAAATTAAAATACTAAATTGCATATACCAAAAACTTAGCAACTTTCCCAAAAATAACTATCTACATGCAGTATTTATTCATTTTTAATATTTTTTATTTTCTAGAAAACAAGTTACAGGGCGAATTAAGAACGTGCTCATAACAGTTTTTCCATTTTAGTGGTCCCATTTCCAATGTGGAGCAATTCATACCCTTTTTACCATGTACAATTTTTAAGAACACTCAAAAGTAGAATCACCGGGGTAGTTCAAGATGATCTTTTGAACAATTTCTATGCATATTGCCAAAATGGTCTTCTACAGCATTGGATAATATGTGTTACTTTTCTGTATGCATTACGGTCTCTGAGCCCCTTTGAAGAACAATAGGAGGTTAGTGTGTCCTCACAGTAATGCTTTGAACGTTTACAATATTGACTAAGCTGTAGTGGTTGTGGTGTGCCTTAAAATGTTTTAACATTGCTAATTTCATTATCTCGTGCCAGCGGTACGGATTATTTGTATTGAATGAAAAGTTCAGATGATAATTGTATTAAATAGTTTTAAAAGACCTAAAGGCATCCTTTAATTATTAAATAAGCGTCGTGCGTTAATGAATCCAGTTTGTCATCCCTGAAAGATATACGTAACTTGTTAAGAGGACAGGAAGACTGCAAAATACATCTTAGGAAGGAAATCCTTGGCTTTGAAAAACAAAGGAAGCTTGAGATGCCTTTCTTAATCTATCACACATCAGACGTGGGATATAAATTATATTTGTGAAAAGTTAGTTCCTCTGTTATTAGGGTCACATTTTTTTTCAATAATAACATTACATTTTGAGGCCGGCTTATAGTATCATAGTCATACATTTTTACTCAAAAGCAGACTTGGAAATATGAGACAAAACGTAAGATCCCTCAGCAGGCTAATTTGCTAAAGAGAAAATTGTCAGGAATTAACAAATTACAAATTTTACTTTACAGAATGTAACAAGTCAATTGACTAGGTATACATGTGTCGCGGGGTTATTCAGGGGTCAAGGTGAGGCGTGGATCGCTATCAAGTCGCGATACCCTCAGTAACCGCTGTTGCGATGCCCTCGTGAATTTCATGCAAGGTTCCGCGCGGACAGTACTCTGATTGGAGCACTTATCCGCGAGGGTGCTCTGGATGGGGAAAAAAATACACTATATATAATGTGGGTATGAGGTGAAATGACGCCAGAAGAAACATAAGTTAACTGCAGAGCGTTTTTTCCCAAACCTCCCTCCCTGTAGTTCAATTGTCGTGGTCTTTTATTGGGGTTGAGGTCACCTGCCTAATTTAAAGGGGGGGGGAGGGGGTGGACTAGCTGAGTTTCGTTATCATTTTGTTTAAGTTCTGGCTAATAAGGCGGAACTCTGGTGAGTTATGTGTTAAATCTCAGGGGGTTTAGAGACCGTAGATGTTTGGTTACAAATTACGTGTTTTAAAGTAAAGTTACGTTTGTAATAATTTGTAAACTAAATAAAAGACCACGGCCTTTTCAGTACACATCTGAGACGGTATTTTATTAATTATTATATTTCTGTGCCTTACTATGTTATGCATTACTTTGCGGTTATTATGTGTCGGTCTGAACTAACCCATGCTGAGCACAGGACTTCTGGTGAAGGCTAACAGCCTGATTCCAGCTTTATTTTAAACTCCCATGCATCTAAAACAATTTTTTTTTTTTTTTTTTTAAAGGAATACTCTAAGCAGCATAAGCATTAAAACATGCTGCAGTGGTTATGGTGTCAGAAGTCTCTTAGTGTAGACAGAGAGTAACTGGTCAAAACATTTAAAGATGGAGCATCCATGCTGCTCTAGCTGAGCTGATATGGTAAAAAGGAAGTCAATTCTTTGGCATTATCATGCCAACTCATACCAAGTACAGACAATATTCAATGGCCAAGAACTATGGGTTACATAGCCAATAGATTAGGGCAAGGAAGATGATATTTGAGACTGCAAGAAATAACTTTAGTTAGTCTCTGTGTGTTAATATTTTACATTGAGTAATGTAACAAATTTATGTTCTGTTTTCCCTGAACCCATATATACACACACACACACACTTAAGGATCAATGACATTCTAGGCAATAATGATATTAAGGGATTGGTATAATAAGGGGTAACAAAGTCCATATAGGCTAGGGAACGAAGATTTGGCAGTGGAGAATAAGGCAGAGAAAGGAGAACAATATATATGAACAAAATAATAAATACATTTATAATCTAAGCACTTCTACAACCACCAATAGATCTGCTTTATTACACTTCTCTCTTAATAATTAAATAGGAAAGTACATATTTATGGATTTAAGTGTTTGAGTTATTGAAAACAGTAAATAAATAGAAATGGGAAAGCGACATTAAAAGCAGTCTTTTCCTTTCATGACACTTAATCTAGGATCCGATTGACATTTATACGCCAAACTTAAACCCATAAAAGTAACACATTATTTTAACGGGCGATTTAAGCCAGACACAAATAAGATGCAGACAATGACACTAGGTAATTGGATTTATTTGAGGAAATAAAAAAATTACATTATCTTGGGACATCAGTTTCCAGTTTATAATACATACATGGTAATGAAATGTATTTCAAAAGTATGGAGGAACTTGCAAAATTAAATAAGGGACATAATATCTAAAACATTGTTGGTTTGCATTTTACATGTGAAATTGTGTTTTACTGCACTTGCCACCTTGTGTGTGCGGTTGTATAAATAAAATTAAACACACACACAAGGCAGTGCAGTAAAATATAGATTCCATTTATCATAGCGAGAAGCTGTTAATGCACGATCAGTGATGAATATGGAAGGCCTAATTAATCTGTAGCTTTGTGTCTAATACTTTATTGTGCACAGTACTTGTAAAATATATGCATTAGTCTAATTTTTCCAATACGGTTATGTTATGCCCATAATGAAATAGAAAGTAATCACCTGAAACACAATGTAAGTTCGCATTATGAAGAAAAAAAAAAAAAAACTGATCAGGTGTCACTGATATTGCTGTAGGAGAAAAATTTATGTCCACTTCATTGATGGATCAAAAGTTAAAGGGACACTCCAGACTACTCATGCACTTCAGCTTGCTTAAGTGCTTTATGCGTGTCCTCTTTTTCCATTTTGCAAACCATGCAGATTTTAAAGGAAATTGGCACTTTTCTAAATTCACCTCGTTGCATCCTCTTGGCTGTCAAGCAACCAGTCCTGTTATTTCTTTCTCTCAGTGGAGCTAAACTCAAGAGGCAGCAATTGCCCAGAGCAACTGCCTTACAAAGACTTCTGATGGCGTTCTGAAGTCTCTGATTGGACAGCCACCGAAAGTCTGGACTGGGGAAGGCTGGAGTCAAGATCTAAAGCGTTTGCCAGCTGTTTTAGTTGGACATACCACCAATGAAAAAATGCACGCATATTTTCATTGAGGGTTTATCTACGAGACAGTGATTTTTTTTGCGGGTGGAGGGGGTGCAGCATTGGACAGTCTATGCATGGTCTGAATAGGGAAAGCATATATGTGTATATATATTTGATGAACCATTTCCCCATCCTACTTATGATTAGTAGAGAGTCCAATGAACAAGAAATGGACAGTTGTAGAGACTGGAAATGATGATAAAATATGAGGTGAATGAAAATGACATATCTATGCCACACTTGAATAGCCTAGAGCAGGGTTGCCAAAAAGGTAGATCCCCAGATGTTTTAAAACTGCAGCTTTTCATGAGGCTTTGCCATTCTAAAGGCATGCAAAGCATCATGGGAGTTGTAGTTCTACAATATCTGGGGATCTACCTTTTGGGCACCCCTGCTCGAGGCTAAGTGTGGGCCTAGAGAATATGGTAAGAATGTGAACTTGGTTAGATTTCCTCAAGAAACCATTCCCAAAGCACAAATACCCTACCAAGTTTCAGCATTATTCTTATGTCATTGTTATTATAAAAAAAAAAAAAAAATGAATAATAATTATAAAATGCAAAATAAATATTTGCATATATGTAGCACGGAAATATTTACTTTCCTGGAAAAGAATTAAAAGTGTCTCTTCAGCCGCTGCAAGACATTCTGAATATCATAATTTCATATACAAGGTAATTGGAAATAAATATATTGCTGCGTGCATTAACATGTATCTCGCTATGAAAAATATCTCAACAAAACAACAGAAATACCCAATTTAGCAAAACCATTTAGAGGGAATCCCTCATAAAAATAAGCTTGTGCTGTATATATTGCAGAGTTATGTTGGCAATCATTAGGTCAGGTTTTAATGCTTTAGCCACTTAGAATCCATACATTTATGGAGTCGTTTAGTGTTTTGTATAAAAGATAATTATAATTTTTTTGCAAATTGCTAAATGTTGAACAATCACCATGAAAACCAAACCAATCCAATGGAATCTTTCCCCCGAAGGTTCATCATTTAGCACTTTGGTCCGTATGTATAAAGTGCAGTTTATGGACAAGTTGTCCAACATGGACCTAGCCTGACTAGATTCACTTTCCAATCAAGTAAACAAATCAAATTCGGACTACGAGATTGGCAGAAGAGAATTGATTAGAAATGTTTTATGGTGGGAAGATAAATAAGAAATGCACAATCACAAGTAGATGTAAATTTAAAGGACACAATGGTTGGATACATCTAATATTTTGTGAACAGGCACTTGCACGATGAGAGATACACTGAAACGTTGGAGTTTAAATTTAGTATCTACAAATACATACATGGTATAGTTCTATAAAAATCGATTCCCTCCATTTCCTTCAGTGTCAGAATCGAGATGTGACTCAAAATTAACCTGTTGTATTCCAGGGTGCTTCATAGAATTTGCCCTTGCAATCGCCAAGTTTTGTAGTGAAATAATTGGAACTAGTGTGATAAATGAAGTAATGAACATATTTGGCAAACTTACCCCAAGTAAAGAAATAACTTATTTACTAAATTAACATTTCTATACAACAGTGTATTATAATTATGTACAAATTTTGTCATTATTTAAAAAATTAAAATAAAAAAACAAGTCACAGAGAAAATAAAGCCAATAGTAGCAGTCATAAAATGTGCTTCTGAGAAAAAAAAAATAAGAAGTGTTAAACTTGAAATTGTCCCTTTAATTTGTTCTTAAAAATATATATATATATACACACCATATTATGCTACACTGGATGTTATGTATATTCCCTCTTAACTTGAACAGAGTTTATGGTTGTTCATGCTCCATCTTTGGCATCACATCTACCATCCAATCACACAGGACTAATTAAAGGCAAGGTCAAAATTTACATCTTACGGCCAGAAAGCCCAAATATTAAAGATGCTCACCTTTTCCGATCTCACATAAAAATGGTTAAATGCCAATGCATTTTTTTTTTTTTAATAATATGCTCATGAAAAGTTCCTGTAAAACAAATGGACTTTTCTAATTACCAATTTAGAAGCTTACTTGCCAACAGGTAAGTTACAAAATGTAGGCCAAAAAAGCCAATTTGGACTTTAGGCAACTTTAGCCTTCATTTGCACTTCAGTTGTAATACAGCAATGCATTATCTAATCAATAAAACCGTCTGTGTACCTTAAGTTATTTTCAACCGGTTCACAGAATTCACTTTGAGACTTAAAACTAATTTTTCCAGGATATGTTAGCTCCACTACAATTTCTCGTCTTTTTTTTAATTTTATTCATTTTAAAACGTTAATAAAAGAAATTAACAGCACCTACTATAGCTCTTATGAATCAGCATGTGTACCGGCAGAAATTAAAAATTGAACGAATAAATCGTTTGATGTTTTAGGTTATCAAGAGCTGTTAACCGGGGTTTTCGTGAGAGATGTGAACGTACTTACAGTTATAATGACATTGTCACGTAGACGAGCTACTGTAACCATATAGACACTGTGTTACAACCGACCCAATATATGGGTAACAACAGTCTAACCAAAATGTTTGTTTCTGCAATGAGCCAAACCCAAGATTCCTTGTTTTGGCAATTTCAGATAATTTTTTTCACATGATGTGTCATACAAAAATGATTTGTGTTGAGACAAGTGAAAGGCCAAGGTTAATTAAAAGAAGAGAATACTTGATGGGGTGTGTTTAGACTGGTAGAGTGCAAGTAGGGAATGATGTACCCATCAAGTACTTAGTTATTAAAATATACAGCTTGGAATCTGAGACCTATAGTAGAGCCTTCTGAGGGTAATTTGGTGGTTGACCGTTTAGATGAAGAGAAGAAGCTGAAGAAGTCGTTGTATAGTTTGGATCACCAGACATAATGTTACCAGCCGGATAAGCACTCGTATGATTGGCCGCAGCGGAGGTAGCAGGATGTGGGCTGTATCCTGCAGACTGGTGGACATATTTGTTTCCTGGAGTTGAATGAATTACTGTAGAACTGAAAAACATGAATAAAATAATAATTAAGAAAACAAACAAAAACCAAAAAGTATATATTAAAAAAAAATCAAAAAAAAAAAAATCGCCTGTTACTATGATTAATCGACAGATAATCAAATTCAATGCATGGCAGATACATACACACTTGGGAATGCTGTGCAAAATACAAGTACGGCTATATGGCTGCATACAAATGACTTTTTTGAAAAAAAAAACAGCTAAGCCACACTGATGCAGTAGAGAGAACAAAAGGTTCTTTTCTATTTTGTCATCATTCAAATAGAATTTTAAATGAGTTAACTCTCCCTATTCATAAAAGATTTAAGATCACTCTGTGTATATCAGTTGCCTCCTGAAACCGTTTTTAGCACAGAGATGCATACAGATGTATGCTTTGTTCTTTTGGAACAGCCTGCCTACTCCCGGTCAGACTCTTCAATCCTTTAAGAAGTCCCTCAAAACCCATCGTTTCAGGATTGCTTATGGCCTCCAAGAGTAACTTCTATCTCTCAAACCTTCCTCTCGCTCTCTCCTAAAGGGCCACACTCCACTCTCACCTCCAGTTCTGCTACTTTCCCACCATGTCTATTTGCTGTCTGTCTCAATACTCTTCCTATTGTGTTTTTATACCCCACCTCCTCTAGACTGTAAGCTCGTTTGAGCAGGGTTCTCAACTACCTATTGTTCCTGTTACACTTCGTCATTGTCTCATTTGTTAAATTCCCCTTTTATCGTAAAGCGCTGCGGAATAAGCTGGCGCAATATAAATACTACTAGTAATAATAAGTCATGTGATTAAATAGCATACAAGAAGATACAAAATAAACAAAAGTGGGCACAATGATATTTGTTTCTGATGTAGTTATTTTGTATGCATTTTTATTCCACACATATACATTCCTCCACCACCACAAATGTTAAAAGGAATATAGACAGATATCATGGCTTGTGGGTGCATCAACAGAAGCTTTAGGCGACTTTAAAATGCAATAAGTAACAGTTTATATAAACCTTTTTTTGCTGTGGAGTTCTAGGATTTACTCAAACACTACACGATACTGTGAGTTATATGGCTGTGGAGCACTTTGACACACACAAACACACAGTGTGTTTTATTGCTTTGCCATGCACTTATACACAATCCAAATTATGAAGGGTTTCGATGCTGTGAAAACATCTCATTCACCCATTGCATATTACTGCAGACGTTCTGCCGTGTACACGAATACACACCGAACGAAAAGATGGATACGTAGGAGGTATGCACGGTTTATTTTCTCTTTTCAAAATATTTCGTTTTTTCACCATTATTTATGGGCATTTTAGAAGTTTAGGAGAGTGATAAAAATCTAGGTACCGTACCGCTTAAGTAGAAAAAATATTCACATTACTTATAGGAAGCTTGAGGTAACTGGCTTGGCATTTCTGTCGGAGCAGGATGTGGGACACACCCTTGACTTATAGACGGCAGTTGAAATTGAGTAGTATGTACACAAAAAGGTAGGCTGTGTTTGGATGTTGCACTGGAGGATATGGCTAAAAGAAGAAGAAAAATAAAAAAAATAAAAAATAAAAATCGGTGAATGCAGTGCATAGTTGACATTTTACTGTTTTTTTTTTTCCATTACATTACTGAGCATTCTCAGCCAGTGAATTGCATACAGTATCAATGGATACCAACAAATTATCTGTTGGACCGCCAAAGGTTTGCATTTCAATTAAGATCACGTACTGTTGCCTACAAGGTTTGCAGATAGGTTCACTCAGTAAATCACATTTAATGGACCCCAGCCCACACAAATGGAATAAACAGCTAGCCGTAGTTATCAATGTATATATCACTGGTCATTCTATTCTGTAAAGAGTTACTCCAGTCATCATAACAACTACAGCCTGCTGTATGATATGAGGAGTACCCTGGCTTGGTTGCTGGTAATGAGGCAAAAGTTCCCTGACAGTCAGGTGATGCTCTTCCAGCAGCTGTAGATCTGCATAAGCCATTCCTATCGCCATTCATTGCCTGAGAGCCTTAGCTGTCCCCTCACAGCAAATTAATGAACGTTGCACAGAAGTGACACTAGCTAGCCTGGAACTCGAGTCCTAGCCTGGCTGATGACAAGCTAATGACGCTGCCTGCGTTGGAGTTGCACGTCCAGGAGCAGAGGGGTTAAACTTCTTATGTAAGGCATTTCATAGAAAAACACAGCACATACAGACTCCACAAAACAAATCACTGAACTGGTCATGGGTGCTTAAAGTTACACTTTCAGGACTGGGCACTTTCAATATTTATAAAATTCCAGACCCTTGTCAATAGCTGGTGTTTATTGGCTCCTTTAGTGTACGGTTATTTCAGCAAAAATATGCTTTGTAAATATCTAATATATTATGTTGCTTTATTACCAAAAAGAGGGCAGTGTTAGAATGCCAATAGCAGCTCAGAATGAGCCAATCTACATGGTGGAGTGATGGTGAGGACATCAGGAGTGTAGCTGCAACTGGAAGCCAATACATAGACAGACCAGCAATACTATAACCTTTTCTAGCCCACATCACAGCTGATTAACCTGGGTGGAGAAGGTATATTTACGGTGTCCCTTTAACAGAATGTGTGTCCCATTTAGAATGCTATATTAAAACCTTTGTTCACTACTCTGAGAAGTGAGTAGGAGCTCCAGGAAACAAATCCAGATTTGTTAAACACTGGAAACTGACTTGCAGTTTAACGTACCTGCTGGGGAGGTCCAGTGGCAGGCTGCACGTAATACTGTGGGTGCATCTTTGCATACATGGAGTACATTGGGTCTTCATTTATCAACTTTGTATACAATGAGAGAGATTCCATTACTTTAACGTTTAATTCTGATAATTCTGAATGTTTCCTGAAAAACAGAGTAATTAATACACAATAAATATTATTAATAAAGATTGTTTATTTATTTTTTTTAAGACAGAAAAAAAAAAAAAATAGGGGATTGGTGTGAAACCCACGTCCAATAGAGGTGGTTATTGTAATTAAAACAGTGTAATCACCTAAAATCACTACAAAACATTTATATATCAATTGGAATATGCACTTTACCATTAAAATATTACCTCTGTGTGTTTGTGACATTTAACAAGAAACATGCAGTTGGTGTATTTCTGTATAATGCGCACAAACAATAGTGTGCACCCCTTAAAAGTGCAGAGAAGACAAATTCTTATATTCCGAATGCTTTAATGTCCCTGTCCCTAGCAATGTAGGTGAAATTAACAAAATAAAACATTTTACAGCATCAACGTTTCTGGTTTTATTATTTAATGGATACATTAAAATAATGTAATATTAAAGTTCTATTTTAAATACCATTTAAATAAATAGATGACCTGTACTAAATTCTCAAAAACAGTATCTAGACTTGTATATAGGCCTGTCAGACAGAACATGTGACTGAAAACTTAAAGAGACATCACAGTGTTTTATGGTCCATAGTCCATTGGTTGTATTAGGGAGCATGGACAAAAAGGGGGTTGGTATTCCTTCTTAACATTTTTCAGTGGACCAGTTAAGAAGCATTTAAAGAATTGACCTTTTATACAAATCTCTAACAGGGGGCAGCTACCTAGCTGTTCTTTACAGTTGGGGGTCTACCTTTTAGTCACCCTGATATAAAGATTAAATTCTTAATGATTTCACTGCTCTTTTGCTCATAAAGTGTTTTAAAAGAATAACAGGTGGGAGCTCAAAACAGTCTTGTATGCTTCAGCACTGACTGAAAGCTGCAAAATTACTACAATTATGTATTTTCAACAATGGATAACAAACATAAATAAACAAAGAAAGAAATGTAAAAATGTTGTATTATTGTTTTAGAGCAATTTACAGCTACGAAGAGATTAAATCTCAAATCGCACATAGAATAGTGTAACAGTGCATTAGTAATTAATATAATTGCCATTTATGAAGAAAAAAAATTAATTAAAACAAATATAAAAAATCTACTGAGACTTACAAAAAGCTTTAAGTGTAAACGATACCCAACCCACCGATTAAACCATGAAGAGCTACAATTTGACTGTTAAATGGTTGAATGTGTTTTAAGGAACAGTCATTATAGATTACCTTGAAATACGGAAATTATTCAGCTAAACGCAGCACAGAATAATCTATCCGCACACAATGACTGTTGAAAGTAAAGTACATCATCTGACGGTTTGTATAACAGGAGTCAGTGGAAAAGCACAGGATGATTCAATAGTCTCGATGAGCTAAAATCACTGGATTGATGTTGTGAGAATTAAATAAGCACAAACAGATCGATATCTCTGCCGCTAATGAAAGGTACACTGTATGAATGTATGCACAGGAAAGCAATACGTTACACACCTGTCAATATCTTCTAGCTTCTCATCTATTAATGGCCCCATCTGGTGACAAGCAGCTGGAATTAAAGATAAAATATCAAACTCAAATAAATACATAAAAAAAAAAAAATACATTTAAAGAGGCATGTCACCCACCCCCAGCAAAAGAGTATTTGATAAAGATAGAGACATTAGCCTCACGTTAATTTGGTCTACCACCAGACCAACAGGTTTTAGACCTCATTACAAACATAGGAAATATTACTTTTTTTCGTAACATTATATATATATATATATATATATATATATATATATATATATATATATATATAATTTTTAATGTCCTGATGAAAGCTCTGATTAAGAGCTGAAACGTTGACTACTTGGATTTACTAGAATAAAGAAGATCTTACTTATCAAAACCTGGAGTGCCGGTATTTTTGTATGGGATTATCCATTATGTGACCAGAGCACTAGGTACAAATACTTTTAGTTGGAGTGCAAGAGTTTTGGATATAGATATATATATACACACACACACACACACACACAATTAGCTTTTAGGATTTTATAGAAATAAAAGATACGTTTTAGATGATACCACATTATCTTGTTTTTTTCAATCTTTATGAAATACTCATTGGCTGTGCTGGAATTTCACTGAAATTCTAACCCAGTCAAAAGATATACTAAGACAAAGTAGGGACTATTTTTCCTACACCTGACACTTCTAGACACTGGGCAGAGGTGCAGACAGCTGCAGGTCTCGCGGGATCAGCACAGCAGTGACATTGGTTCCTGGCAGCTGAAGCAGAGAAGAGGATCGGCTGGAAGAGGATGGAGGTAGCCGCAAGTGACAAGTACAGGTAAGTAGAACTCTCATTTGCCTATTAGTAGTAGCTAATCTTGATGTTCCAGAGATTTGGAAACAACCACTCCCATGATGCTGGGTCTTTTCCAAATGTCATGGGTGCCAGGGCAAGAGCTTGCACAGCATTTACAGAGTTATTTACTAAAGAGAGAATTGTCAGGAATTCAAAGTGAATTTCAACTTTAAAGGGTTTCTTTAACCCCTCCTCCCTACCAACTATGAATAGTGCCCTATTGCACAATATTCTATAGGGTCCCCCACCCAACACAAAACGCATGAAAACTGTTTTAAAAGAAATTTTACTTATTTTGAATCCAGCGCCAGGCGAAGTTCACGCTTTCATGGGCTCTTTGTAATGTCAGGGCATCTGCACAAGGTCTAATCAAAAGTTTTTCATACAGAAGCCCATTATTGGACTCTTTCGTTGGTTCCCAGCAAAGGCACAAACTCTGGGCCGGCAAGGAAGAGGGAGTGGAGAGGAGGGAGGGAGAAGGAATTTGCCCGTACTTCCCCAGGAAGGGTGGGAGGAAGCACAATGAGGGTGGGAGGGGAGAGCTATCTTCCCCTTGCAGGTGCTCTGTCTTTAGGTCTGTCAGCAGCTTGCAGTGTGCATGGATGACAGATGTTTTATATGCACAGAACTGACATTAGGCAGCCCATAGCAGAATCACATGTGCCGGGGGTGCAGATATTTCAGTACGTGAAAAATCAATAGAGTCATGTATCCTCTTGAGACATCATGATGATGCATCTTATACAAATGAGATACAAGTAGTCACATTGCAAATTAAAAATGTGGTCTAAGCACAGTAATCACCAGAGTCATGTGCCATCTCACAGTATGTAGCCAAACATTTCAGACTTCACTAAAACAAAAGTTCACATGACTGAATTAGAGACATTAATTACCCCATCTTTGTTAGGAATTCCTTTAGGCAAAAAAAAAAAAAATGAAAAAAAATAAACTCACCTTCTAGATGAAGTAAATCAGCTGGGTCTGGCAAACCGTCTGTAGGATCAGCACTTTGAAGCAATCGCAGCAACTCATCCATTTTTTCCTTTGAAAATATTAAAGAATATATCCATTATCACCTGGTCTTCTCTGATCTATGGAAATACACTGTACATCCACAGTATAAATAGTTACAAGAACCAGTCTTTTGTAATTCTGTCTTCTGGGGCAAAACAGGGGTGAGACAATATTTTAGAGAAATTGATGAAATGCATTTCACAACACTCTGATCTCTAAGCACCAGCCCGGAATGTTGAAAACTTTAATAATCACAGACAATGGGGTATATTCACTAAACAGTGAAGGGTGGAGAAAAAACAAACTGCAGAATGTAGGCCTAAATAGCCAATTAGAGAAAAAAAAAAACCCTACAACTCTGCTACAGTCATAGCTTGGCATTTTGAGCCTGAACTTTGTAATTTAGTCTTCCTATCACTACCATTCTCTGTTTAGTGAAAAATCCCCTAAGAGTCTGTATAGTTCACTAACCCAGGACTGCTCTCAATGCAGTTTGCAAGCAACTCACTGTTATCAGCATTGGTGAAGGATCCTCTTTAAGCCTTCACATAGAACTGGATTGGCCGTGGACATCAGTACATGAAAAATCTCAATTATCCAATTAATCTATACCGATAAAATGAGCTCTATTGAAGGAACTCTCCAAGCACCATAACCACTGCTTGGTTAGAATGCCAAGAGTGTCCTAGCACCCCCTGATCCCCTGTATAAGTAGACAAACTGTTTACCATCAGTTTAAAAACTTACCTGAAAAAAAAAAAAAAAAAAAAAGTGTACTGGAATGTTGAAACATAAAACTGACACTTCAATGTAACATATATATTAACAATAGCGATATGGACCGAACAAAAATCCTACAAGAGTAATATCCTAAGACTGTCGCAGGGAAGGTCGTCTCTCATATCATCAAAACTTTGTAAAATGTAGAGACCATATCACAATATATTTTATGGAGTATTAAAACGAATATCAGTATGCCCTTGAAAATCTAGTGTCTCAAATGCGTATTCGTTAAATTTAATCAAGCTGTCATTAACTGTAGATTTATTTAGGAAATTATCACATTTATCGGATGCAGGCAGGTCCAGCTGATGTATGTATTTGCATAATCTAGAGCTGGGTGACCTTAATTTCCAATATGTAAAGGGGAATTTCCTACGGTTAGTGTGAACCAGTCCCATGATTATAAAAGACTGGCGTATGATGTAGTTGTAGTCCACAATAGTTGGACTCAGAGAGACTGTCTGTACATGACACAGATTTATTGCACTGACCTCATCAATATAAACAGGCTCAGGTTCTGGTTCTATGGTTTCCACCTGCACTTCATCACTAAACTGGACTGTCTTCTTCTCAACTTTCACTGAAAGAAATAAAAACCACGTTGACATTTACATCAGTGTTTACATCAAAGTTCATTACTCAGAGTTTAGAAATTGGACCTGCTTTTCTATTTACAGCACCTGGCAAATCTCAGACAGACAGACACACATTTTACATGAGTTATATACGACAAACAGGTAGCGATCGATTGCAACACAGCGTGACACAGACAGATACTAACAGGGAGAGAGACAGACAGAAACAGACGAATGAAGTGCAGTCACCTTCAAAATCATTGCCTCTTGGTAAACATGAGAAGCTAAAAATAAATTGGTTTTCGAATGAAAAAAACAAAACAAAAAAAAAACAAATCATAAACATGAACTACATTGTGGCTTTCGTTGTTTTCTAGAGTTAAAACATACTCGAAAACCATTTAATTGGCATCATTGTGAGGAAACGCAAATGGAAACAAGACAAAGGCATGTTGCTTTTAAAAGGAAAAATTAAATACAAATTAAAATAAAAACCACAACAGGCAATTGGTAAAAAAACAATAGCTAAATATTGAAATAAATATAGGTGCCAATAGATCGAGGTAATTGGGAACACCGATAAACATATTGCATCTAAGTACCAGCATATGAATGAATGAACCCCAACAATTTCTGTATAGGAGTCACAAACAATACAATGTGAAGCACCACAATGAAATATTGGAAAGTTTACCCATGTTCACCATTTACCTGTACGCTTTTTTTTTTTTTGCATAGGTTTCAGAAATGATTACATTTAACCCATGGAGAAGTAGTTTGTATTATTATTTTAATTTTTTATTAAAAAATAAAGCTGGTCTATTTTCAGACCTCTAGGGCCTGCAGCTCCAATGTCCGCCACATGCAGTAGGAATGCAGAACTGTGTTACCCTATCTTAACATTGATAGACAGATCCACTATGTCAGTAAATGGGACAAGCTTTCTTCATATTTATAGCTAGCAGCTAGAGGTATTTAATCTCACCCATGGCGGCATTAGAACGGGTCTAGAACGGAAAGGAAATGGCTATTTATCTATTTGTGTGTATATCTAGTCCTGTATCAATCTATTTAACTCTGCCAGTATCATTGACAAGAAATTTGCACATGGTAGCAAAGCAAGGAATAAAGAAAAAATTACAAAAATAAATAAAAAAAGTATTTTTACAATTCTGCTCCTTTTGGCCTATAATTTCCCTTTTTAGATCTCCATAACTCTTTTATTCTCTCTCAGGCATTCTATTAAATCAAAAAAATGCACAAGCAAATCATTTGTCATCTATACGCTAGATAGCATTTTGAATAGCACAATTGATACATGATATAAACACTTTACTCCCTAAAAAGCGGCACCAAGTCATATTTAGCATAACTGGAACGCTAACATCCAGCCCCATACTATGGGTTGCTGTTTTAACAGCCAATGCAAGCTACAGCACTTTGAACAAGAGATAGGAATCATCACAGACAGACAGGGAGTAAAAATGAGACGGTGTCAAAATAGATGGTGGTAAAACGGTCAATTGGTCATTACATGTAACTGAACGTCCATTGATTTGAATGAGTCTTTATGGCAGTCCAAGTGTAAACAGACTGCTCACTAAAGCAGATAATTGCGAGCAGTTGGATCACTAACCAATGTTTAAATATCATCTTTGGACAAGAAATGTAATTGAATGTGTTATCAAGGGAGAATTTGTATTCAATTAGCAGAGATTACTGCAGGTAATTAAAATCCGCCTTCAGTTCCCAGTGAGAAGCAGCTCACGTTAAGAATACCAAAAATCTGTCCTTCCTTTATATAAACAGCAATTACCATGAGACTGCAGAACCACGTAACCAAGGACTCCTAGACTTTATACAGTTTATCATGAAGGTTAAGAATTGATCATTGCAAACAGCCTCAGGTTCTCTTATGTGTTCTGATCTAGAACAGCCAGCTCAGCAAAGACATAGCCTTTAAAATATATTCAAATAGAAACTTAAAACACTACATATGAAAAGGAAGTATTGACCTCTTCCTAGAACGTTAAGCAAAATATTTGTTTTACATATAAAAAAAAAAAAAAAAGTGATGCACTCAAATGCAGATAAGCGTGAATGTTGGCAAGTGTCAGCCAGTAAACAAATTTATAATAAAACATATGTATACATACACACTATTGCTTCAATCAACCACCATCCCTTGATGTCTTAGGATATTGGGGTTAATAACCAATTCTTGGCTTACATTATTGATACAAGACTAGAGATTGTCCATCTCATTTGTGCTCACCTAATATAAATATCCAATGTCCAGTAGTCATTAAAAGGCTCTGATTATTGGATTCACTGTCATCATATTGCACATGGGACATTCACTGGGCCCCAACCGGTATGTTTAATACCTGGTTTGTAAGCTATAAGTCACTTGGGTTAACATCCCGTATATATATTTTATTATTATTTTTTATGTTCTGTAGTTGTAATTTAATGACTGTAGTTTTACTTACTTTAGAGGTTTGCTGGTGTTGTGCTAGCTCGGCACACACACTCACACTGCAAGTGGTGAGTTATTCATAAAAGTCAGACCATGAATATCACACAATTTAAGAGTCACAACAAGGTTTTAACGTTCCTAAATAAATGGATTCTAACAGCTTTGGATTTCAGAAACATCCAGTAGGTTTTTTTTTCCCCCTTCTTCTTTTCTTATACTTACTCATATCCAATTCGGCAGTCAGGTCAGCAGTGACAAAATTAGAAGGAAATAATCCAATTCCATCCTGGGTTTCACCTTTCCACCAGTTTGGGTCACTGAAATAATAACAAGTTATACATTACATTTTCTCTAAGAACAGGCTACATAGATCACGTCTATCGTTAGCCCAGTATGTGGGCATCATACGGCTGGCTGAAGATTACCAGTACAATGTATAGATTGCAGAGTACTGCATACGTAAATGGATAGCATGTTGTTTTTGTTCCATTACCAACGGCATGGGCCCATACCTGTCATCCAGCACGGTGACTATTTCCCCTGCTTTAAACGTCAGTTCGTTGTCCTCAGCAGCTTCAAAGTCGTATATAGCCTGCACTTTTCTGCCCTCGGGCTTGTGACTGGTCAGGAAACTCGTGCTGGGATACAGAGTGGATGTTGTCCCTGGTTGCTTTTGTTCTTTTAGTGACAATTCAATAGCTGCGGAATGAAAAGAAAGACATGTTCATGAATCAGGAGAAACTAAATCGACAGGCCAAGATTTCTAAGAAATGTACATGCAATGTGACAATGAATGTGTTGATGCCTGTCCAACATGAATTCAAGGCTGTGTGAGTCCATATGCCATGGTCTGTCCGTATATTTATAGAATGCTTTACAATTGTGGAAACATAAATAAATAATTCAGAATAATAGCAACATTCCTTTATATTAGCCGTGGACTCTTTATTGTTGTTTAAATAACATAACTGCATGCAGACTAAATCATAACCTGCCTTGGTGAGGTGCCAAAAATGACAAATATAGCATAACCTATTATGAAAAGTCAATTACTAAAATATAATAAATAATAATAACAACAACAACAGGAGGAAACACTAGAATAATTACTTTTTTTCATTGCATTTTGCACTTTCCTGTACCTTTTGCAAGGTCTTCCTCTTCCTTTTTAGTTGTGACAGTTCCAGGATCTTTTGTTACTAATGCCGGGCTTGCTTTGGCTTGCTCGGCTGCCTAGTAGACAAGGAAAAAACAAGCCACAAATGAGCAAACATGTTTGAAATCACAACCTGGCAGAATAAGTCATGACATTCAAAGCTTCTTTTCATACTATGTTCCTGCATGTTCTCTAATATGTGAATACAGACTCTAAATTTCAATGGAAATTGTAATTTTTATAATTGAGGGCAGAAACAGCTCCCTGGCGGTCACTCAGACAGGTCTGTGGAGCCAACGTTATTAGCAGGCATGCTAGTCTAGCACTCGTTGACCTTCCCTCATTCTCAATGAGCTATATTAGAGCTTAATTAAAAAGCATAGGAAAGCTGCAAACGTGTATGTGCTCGTGGGTCCAACACAGAGGCCTCTCAGTGAGCTGATCGGCATATTATATGACCTTGGAAAGAAGGGATGGCTTGCAAAGGCTGCAGCTTTTGCAGGTTTTTATTCCCCCACATATACATGCATGCTTCCTTTGATAGGTATATCTATCTAGATAGACAGATTCCGTATTCCGTACAGATGAATACATTGAGTGAGTGGAATGACAGAGTATAATGTGACTGATAGTTTTGGTTTTAGGTGCAGTGCTTGTAAAATTACAATCTAAAAAGAAAGGGATTATTTTATTACAGTTAATAAAAATGTGACTTTCTAATTTTTCATTTTTTTTTTTTCAAGGAATAGGCTGATTCAAATTATAATAGGACTGGAAACATTAGATTGAAGAACTGTTTATTAAAATAAGTATGCAGAAAACTATCCAGGACAGTGACAAGGTGGCAGTGACGAAAGAGGAGTTCACCTGAAAAGTGGGCATGTCTGCCTGGTTGACTGGCAGTGGTTCTTGCCAGTCCCACTCAAGGCGGCACATGCACAGAAACCTTCTGAAGCAATCTCTCGTGGGCTCAATACCCTGAATTTACTTTGTGCAGCCCATGCATGTTTAATTATGAGCGCTCATTGGCTTTTTTGAGACATTTCACTAGTGTTCCCAAAAGCAAAATGGGATATAAAAATTGGCACTGTTGGAATGTACACATTAATATTAAATAGGTGAACAGATCATTCAGATACCTTGTCACACAACAAAATAAAGGGTGAAACGTAACAAGGCTCGCCAGAAAGTTACAATCCCAATATGAATCCTTTACAGCTACCGCTCCTTGTTCCTGGCTTTCATTAGTGTAAGTGAAATCTAGCGATTAGAGAGCATCAGCTACACAGCTGGTACCTAATTTTGAACATTTATTATACATAAACTATATGATTTAACAGATTGTAATACCCATGCACACAGAGGGAGGGATCGCCATGCGTGTCATAGGGATGGCGTTATAGAATCAGGTGAACAACAAAAGCCTTCCAGCCTGTGGTGAGGATACAATAGAGCAGTGTGAATAATTCCTTTAGGCCTTGCCTTTCTTCTATAGATAGAAATCAGTGGGAGATAGAACATTCTGAATAAAGTGAGTCACAACAAGATGGCAATTTTATTTCAACCTTTTAACCACTTAAGGATCAACAATGGTCTATGCAGCGATAACTTGTTCATTCAATATTTTATTCCAAAATGGAATGTCCCATTCATTTAACAAATTAATGGCTCATTTGAGCTTTTAAAACTAAACAGAATATGCCAAACTGGAATAAGGTCTTTAGGAACCAGATTACCATGACATAAGGCAAAACATGTGGTCCTTAAGGGATTAATGGTTTTTGTACATATTACAGTCACACAATATAGTACTGAAGAATTGCTATAAAGGGAGTTAAGAAAAAGTCCAAAGCCATCACTTTATCAACTTATTTAGAGGAAGGCATTTCTAAAAGCCAGTTGGCCAATGTTGATGTAAACGGATGGCTGTTTCAAAACAGGGTGGTTTGTTCTGCTTATAACAAGGTTTTTTTTTTTGTTTTTTTTAATATACCTGTGAACCAATCGCTGGGAAGGTCACACCTTGCTCTTTCAGATTTTTTATCATTGCGGATATTAAACTGAGTTGTGGGTCATTCTTGAATTCGTCAGCCCATTCAACCATTAGTGCTTTTAACTTTTCACAGACTTTAGGGTGTCCCTGTGTGAAACAGTAAAAATAAAAAATGCAATAGACGTAAGTGTAAATATAATATAATATAACAAAGTGTAAAAAAAATAAACAAAAACCACATAGAAACCCACACACATTTGTTTTAATTTAAGGGTTACATCAACCAAAAAAAAACCAAAACATTTATTTCTTAAAACACTGGTTTCGGTGCTGATTTGCGTCCCCGCCCTCCCTAAGGTGTTAACAATAAAAAGGGTTAATTTCTGTATATGATCGCTGCAGATACAGACTCAAGGCACAAAGCGCAAAAATGTGGTCATGGTCCTTGGAGTAAACATTTAAACAACACAACTGAATTCCACTTGCCTATCAGCCAGGCAGCACATCTTTCTGATCATATTAATCACAATGAGAATATATAAGCTGCGGGCCCGTTAAAGAAAACAGGTAAACATTGATTAAGTATATATTCTTATGACTCACATCATACGGTTATTGCTTGAATGCCCTTAATTGCACAGTTTGATTGTTTTTCTACAAAAATGCAATGATATATATTTGTCTGCTAGACTGAGAATTAAGGTCAGATCTGAGATTGTTTTCCTTGCGTGTGAAATATATTAAAGAATACCCATCATGGTACATACAAGATATGTTAATATGAGAAAGCACAACATCTTAGCTCAGCATTGTGCCAACAGAATTGCTGTCAAATGTACAAACTAAAACCTCATCCATCCTTTCATCTGACAATCAATTCTCGGTAGGCGGCTCAATGCTGACAGCCTACTGTTTGTACTGTCTGTTTAGTTGCGGACTACCTGGAAATTAAGCCAACGTGTTGGAGTTATAAAGGAGCCGTGCACCGCTTGGGGAAAGTGTTCCCAAACCGGGCCAAGCAAGGAGGAGGGGAACGGGAGCTAGGAGGAAGCCAAGGGGTGGATGTTACATTAGTTTAACACCCAAAATCCCAGCATTGAGAGTGAAGCCAAATCCTAAAGCAATGATATTTCTTATCTGTCTGTATGATTTTTTTAAAATTAATTGCCTAAATAGGTGGTACCTGTTAGGATAAAGTCACTTTAAACCAAAGATAGTTTTCGGTTTTATTTGAGAATTTGTACTCTCTCATAGCAAATTAGAATCTAGATGTCAATTTGTCTCTGTCTGAAGCTTTCCTTTGTTGTGCAGCTACAGTGACATGAAAACTAAATGCATATTTGTATTATTTATTTATTTATTGCTAATTGGCAGTTTTAACGTGAAAATGTTATATAAACTCACCATTTTGTTTATATTCCAGAAGCCCCTGATCTTACATTAGGCAGATAATGGGCTATGGCTAGTTGGGACGACAGTGGTATTTTTTTTTCTATTATATTCTTTTACTAGCACTTTTAACTAATGGATACACTGATTCTATATTCTGATAATTTAAAGATACCCTATACTAGTCACCAGAACTTTAGCTTAAAGAAGCATTTTTTGTGCAAAGATCATGCCTCTGAAGTTTTACTGCTCAATTCTCTACCATTTAGGACTTAAATTACTTTTGTTTCTGTTTATGCAGCCCTAGCCACACCTCCCCTGGCTCTGACTGACACAGACTGCTTGAAAAAAAAATGGTTTCAATTTCAAAATCAGACATAACTTACTTTAAAGGTTTTTATCTTTTGCTCTGTAAACTGAACATTAATTACATACAGAAGGCTTCTGAAGGCCTAACGAACCATTAACAGAGCAGGAGATAAGAAATAAAACAGAATTTTCAATAAAGGAAGTGTAAACATTAGAGGACTCTTTCAGGAAGTGTTTAGGAAGGTTGTGTAAGTCACGCGCAGGGAGGTTTGCCCAGGGCTGTTTAAACAAAGTGATTTAACTCCTAAATAGCTCCTAATTGAGCAATAAGACTTAATGGACATGATCTATACACCAAAACTGCTTCATTAGGCTAGAGTTGTTTTGGTGACTATAGTGTCCCTTTAAATTTACTATTACTTCATAATAACACATACGCCATATATATATATATATATGAATTCCTCTTTAAGCCTCTTTTCTAAAAATATGGCAATCTTGTTCTGAACCCAAATTAAAACTATTTGTGCACAAGTGCACACACAAACACACAATTTCAGAGTTCAATTTACCAGACAGTTGTTGTCATTTATTCTTTTCTGTTATGTTATGTGTGCAGAAAATTGTAGACTATAATAATATAGTCAAACCATGGGTACCTATACAATCCATCCATAAATGGCTCCACATAGCTTACGTGTTTAACAAAATGACAAAGAGTACGGAAATAGCAGAGGAAAACACGAAATTATAAAACTTCCACGTACCTTTAAAACGGCAAATCTTACCTTATTTAAAACATTGCTAACTTCACTTGCAAAATCTCTGGAGCATACTTCTAAATGAAATATTTTGCCGGAGTTTGATACACATGCACCAAGTAACTGGGAAAAAAAGAGCAACAGAAATAAATATAAAGTAGAATTTTAATGTAATTGGAATAGTAAATTCCTAAACCTTTACTGCTCATGAAAAATAATATATATATAGTTGTTGAACAAAAAAGAAAGTTCCTCCTAGACTTGTGCACAGTGAAAAAAAAAAAAGGAAACGTGTTTTGTCTGAAATGTTAAAACTGTTAGGAAGAACCAAAATTTCAATCTTTAAAGGACCACTCTAGGCACCAGACCACTTCAGCTTAATGAAGTGGTCTGGGTGCCAGGTCCAGCTAGGGTTAACCCCTTTTTTCATAAACCTAGCAGTTTCACAGAAACTGCTAGGTTTATGAATGGGTTAAGCCTTCCCCCTAATCCTCTAGTGGCTGTCTCATTGACAGCCACTAGAGGCGCTTGCGTGCTTCTCACTGTGATTTTCACAGTGAGAGCACGCAAGCGTCTATAGGAAAGCATTATGAATGCTTTCCTATGTGACCGGCTGAATGCGCGTGCAGCTCTTGCCACGCGTGCGCATTCAGCCGACGGGGAGGAGAGAAGGAGGAGCGGAGGAGGAGAGCTCTCCGCCCAGCGCTGGAAAAAGGTAAGTTTAACCCCTTTTCCCCTTTCCAGAGCCAGGCGGGAGGGGGACCCTGATGGTGGGGGCACCCTCAGGGCACTATAGTGCCAGGAAAACAAGTATGTTTTCCTGGCACTATAGTGGTCCTTTAACGAAATGCGGATGAAACGAATCAGTTTAAAAGTTTCGTCCTGTAGCGCAATTCGGATAAGCATAATTTATTTTTAGCCCTTAACCCGTTCGTGGCAAGTGAAGAGTTAAGAATGAAGTGTCAGTAAACATAGCTTCCTGCTGCTTGGGCAAATCCTAAACATTATGAGTGAGATGGCAGCATGCCCTAGCTACGCGAAGAGGCATTTAAATGTTAAATCCCAAAAATACGCATGCAGTTAAGGGTTTAATAAGAGGAGTGGCAGGGAACCCAAAGCTCACAAATGGAGGGGCCGACGCTCTTTGGCTTTGAAAATTAAAATGCCCCATTCCAGCATAGCTAGGGGATAGGGCAGGAGTAAGACGGCATGCTGCTCTCACTCCTACTATTATGAGACGGGGAATTTGACCAGGGCCACCCCATCTATGCTCACACCCATGGGCTGTAAGCAAAACAGGAGATTGTGGGGCACAAAGAAGCAGTACACTTTTTTTTTAATGAAATTACAGAGATGGATTTCTGAGCGCCCACCTTGTAATTCACAAACAAGTAAACTAAGTAACAGTAATGAAGTAACAAGCAAGGAAACCGTGTTGTAGATAAATATGTATGTATTGGATAATTTTATGTTGTTACATTGCTATGATGTTGCCCATACCATATCACCATACCATATCACCTCACTGAAGTCATATATACATTGATACATGCATGTACATACACATTCATACACATTTATACACAGATATTCAAATACTAATACAACTGCCAGAAATAAAAACACACAGATATTCATTGCTGAGACACAAACACACTCTCTCAGACACATACAGGTATACAGTGTCAGAGACATATATACACTCCCACAGACACCAAAATACACTTCAGAGGCCCCTTTGGAGGTGACCGCATGAAGGTATATATCTGAGGAGGTTTTGGATAGTAATATCACTTTAGTTATAATTTACACACACACACTGCCAGTAACACACACTATCAAACACATACATGCAGGCAGACGCAGACACACACACACACACACACACACACATTTACCATGGTAGTGTAGAGGTGATAGTGTGCTGTAACTGCTGACATAAGTCATCATGCAGCTTGACCTAGTAATGGAGTAAGGAACTGTGTGGGGTGGTGTGCAGACCTAAATCATCTTGTCGGTATAGTCCAATAAGGAATAATTTTTTTTCTTGTTATTTAGGTCACAAGTTATTTTTTTCATACAAATGAACTTATTACCAGAAAAAGTCTAATTCCCTTATACTTTGATCAGAATGTTATTTGAAATTTCAACGGACGATCCAGAGAAAATTTTAAACTCATATAGTCCACTTGCATCCAGTTGGACGAAGACACTAAAAAGTAGCTAAAGAGAACCGTACAGATTGTGTATGAAGATGATGACAGTAATATTCAAGGTACCTCAAGGTTAGATGGAAAAAAAAAAACAGTTCCAACAAATTATATAAATGGGGCCTCCATATTCGAGTGATTATGTACTAAACATGGAGTTATGGTAAGATACAATATAAAGTCACAGCTAGATTTGTATTTTTTTTTTTCTACCCTTAAAACTGCTTTTTTCAGCACAAATCACTGGACCCACTACAGCAGACGGTGTACCAGTGTTAAACATGATTTTCTAACATGGAAAGCAATACTATGCTAAATAAAAGAAGCCATGCCATGTATCAAGGATGATAAACACATGCACCTTCAGGTGTTTGCGCTACAACTCCCAATACAGAGAGTCTGGTCATAGAAGCAATAGAAAATCTGAGAGTTTCCGTGTAATAAGAGATGGAATGCAATAGACCTGATCGGTCTAGTAACCGTTATTTGACATGCTTGTAGGCTCTAATCTGTTATTCTCTCTGTTTCCTAAAATATAAATGATAAGAGTTGGAAATATTTTGTATAAAGCAGCAGAAGGTCCTGTTATTTAATGAATTTATAGAAACCAGAGAGATAGGTTCTAAAAAAATATTAAACTTAACATAGCACCACTACAGAAAAGGAGCACAGAAAGCCAGGGAAAAAGACTTACCGTGAGAGCTTGCATGGCCACATGGGGGTCTTTATGGTTCACTCTTTTCATTATAGAGCGGAGACAATCTTTAGGTCTGGGAAAGACGAAAAAAAAATAAAAAAAATAAAAATTATAAATAATAGCTTATTATTTATTTTATAAATGTAAAGTTTGATGTACTACAAAGATCATGAAATGACCCTGAAGAAGTACTATCAGAAATATTCCATTAATCAATACATAATCTGTTATAAGCAGTCACAGAGTTGCTCAATGCTCAACTCCCCATTCTGGTTTTGTAAATGGAAGCGATGGGAGGTATACAATGGCATCCAATCTTAAAAGAAGTCTTCAAAAAAAAGTTCATTGTAGAGACTCTGGTGTATTGCTTGTATAGAGTTGGGATGAATGATGGGTTTAGATCTTTCTAATCTGTAACCAACTCCACCCCATCTGTACCCACTTTCAGCCTGACAAGTTCCAAGAATATCTTGAAGCCTGTCAATATTTCCTGTATGCACTTAAGACCCAAACCCAACCCATGTTTTAGAACCAGAGCAAGACCAAATATTCTGGTTTCGCACTAATTTTGTTGCCCACAACCCCCTATTTGACCCATCAGTGTCTCTCCTGCTGCACAATGCCCTATATAGACATATAGCTTAACCACATAAATGAGGCTTTCACACCCCAGGAATTGAGATGAAGAATGTAAAGGTGTAAAATAAGCACTCTAAGCACCATAACCACTGCTGCTTGCTGTAGTAGTTATGGGGGCAGCAGTAACTTGGTGACAAAGCATTTGTGAACCGTTTCACACTTACTTGGGCCACACCAGGAACCTGTTTTTGGCCTTTATGATGTGCCTAAAAGGTAGTTCTGCTTTAGAGAAGTTCATTTTCAACATGTAGAACTCCCAGCCAAGGAATGATTTGAAAAAAAACTGCACAAAATTGACAAAGCTAATATGAAATGAGAACTTCCTCTTTAGCCAAATTATAAAATCTGAAACTGTGCGGGTGTCCAGGTGACAAGTCATACTGTTCACACAACATGTGACCCCTAACCCGCGAGAATGGTGCCAAGAGCATTTGTTTGTGTGTCCACATTTAAAGGTTTTGCCCCCTCTACCAATGGAATAGTAGTAACCATTAAAAAAATATTTAAAGAAAAGTACCAGATTATTTCAGCTTACCCTGAGCGTGACTGTCCAACTTTATCACAAAGATCCAATATAAGCCCCCAGTCCTCAGCCGTGTTCAGTTCACTTGTTGCCTTCTCTATAATAAAAATGGCATAGGAGTTGAAAATTGAACCTCATATAAAGAAAACTGATAAACAATTGGTTTTGTCGTACGCAAGACTTGGTTGAAAATGTTCTATATGTTAGTGCCTGAATTCTTCCTCAACCTATTGAAGATCACATCACAGGTTTTCACAGTCACATAGATGTCATATGGACGGAAATTAAAACAGAAGTCAGTGTTAATTAACCTTTTTTCCATGTTCCGCACTTTATATTTCAGTGAAATGTTAATAGTGAAGGGTTTACAAATTAAGTATTTTAATGCATTTGTACTAGTTAACTTTGATATATATCACACAGAAAGCAGAATGTGTGATTCTGGTGACAGTAGCAAGAGGGGAACATAATTAGACATGCAATTTTTGCCTCACATGCCCCTCAGCTTAGTTTACAATTTAATACTGTGGATACACTTTGCAAATATTGACAATCTGTTAGAAAGTTCCACAGAAATTCCCTCTGACTTTAATGGTGACTTCTGCAAATAAATGATTTGAGATGTTTTTCTAACAGATTATGAGAATTTCAAAAAAGGTATCCAAAAAATTAAATCAAAGCCATTGTTCCCAAATTTTTAATAAAGTATTGTTTGGTAATGAATCGTTTTAAATTTATATCCTTTAAAGGATTGCCAATTTTATCCTACCTCTTTCTGTGTCTTGTAATATGACGTACTTTGATGTTTTGGCTCTAACTTTCATTTAAAAAAATTGTTTGATACTAAACAATGCATCTCCAGAACACCAACGTAAAGAAACGGGAATACAGAGCAGGAGAGAGTGCAATGTGTCAGAAAGGGAACTTGCCTAAGAATCCCTGGGACTTATGTATCAACGTGTTCTGTTCCAAAAAGTGGTTTGAAGTAAAACTAAAATATGGGCAATCACCATGGAAACTGGTGTGACTAACTGGCATTGGTAACTTCCACTTTCCCCATTTCACCCTCACTGGGTTATATTATCTACCAGTGCGACTCTCCCTGACACATTTATTTAAAAAGGGCAAAAGGGCAGGCCTGCCTGTATTTCTGCTAATTAAGGCATACCTCCCAACTGTCCCTATTTAGGAAATACAGTCCCTATTTTGGGCCCAAATCCCTCTGTCCTAATGGCTCTATTTTCTAGGAACTCCATATTGTTGGTGTGTCCGAGAATATAACAAAGCTCCAACACAATAATACTCCCTGTAATGAGTGTTTATACTACAATAAAGGTATTTAGAAATCAGTCTGTGTTCTAAATTACATTTTAGTTGCATTATTGCTATTAGTAAGTCAACAAAAATTTATCATAACAGTCCTTCCCCTGGTAACCCCTCCACTCAAACCCCTAATATATAAAAAAAAAAAAGTGTTCTTCTATGCCAGTTTTAAATGTTGGGAGCTGTGGTTAAGGGGACATTATACTCACCAGAACTACAGAGAAATGGCTGTGTTTACATTACTGCCTGGGAACACCTCTAATGGCAGTCACGCAGAAGGCCACTAGAGGTGCTTCCTGGGTCAGTGTTGCAGAGTGTGCAGCCCTGACATTCAATGTCTCCACGCTCTACATGGAGGTGCTGAACTTTCCTCATATAGATGCACTGATTCATTGCATTTCTACGAGGAGAAGCGGATTGGAGCAGAGGGCTTTTTTAACCTCCCAATGCTTTCCCAAGTTTGATAATCTCAGCCAAGGAAGCGGAAGAGGTGCAGGGCAAAAAAATAAAAATAAAATATGTTTTATACCTTTTTAACCAGGGCCAAGGGGGGCGGTTAAACAGCAGATTCATAATAGCACTGTCCTAAGAAAAGGACACTTGACAGGTATGAACTAGACTTTTGCACAAATTCTGGTCAGCTGTGATTAATTAATTCATTGCCAGACAAAGGAATTGATTCGTCCAGAAAATAAAATGTGTTAATCCAGCAATTAACAAGCACTTGATTCGTTCCGCCAGCTAAAGAGGATTCGTGCACAAGTCTAGGAAGAATTAAATATGGGATATACTAGTTACTACGCAGAAATCATCACAGCCAGTTTTCTTAAAACATGACACAATGTTTATTACTAACAATATTCAATATTGGATGTCCTTCCCCAATTACACCCCTTTTCATTTTGCAGATGCGGTTGAACTTTCAGTAAATATTCCTTAAATTTAATTAGGCAACTTTCCAATTTCTTAATACAGTAAAGATGGTTCTTCACAAAGTTAATTGGGAGTTAATTGCATCTGGCGCCATGAAGAGAATAATATATTTCAAAGAGGAAAGAACAAATTATGTTCTTTCGAGAGTCGTCCCTAGTCAGCTTTTCCATCAAATCTATAAATACAGAGAATTTACGGTTTCACGGCCTTTAATCACTATTCAAAGCAAAAGAATGACACAAAGGAAGAAATATATGTATGATTGAAGCAGCGGGTTGCTTACAGCTTCAATATGCTACATATGTCTATTGCTTCCAGTCCTATGCAGCTACTTTTTGGAACTCTAAAAAGTGTACCTTGCTATCATTTGATTGATATACCATATATGTATATTCAACTAGTCTATCAGAGAAGATCTAAAGATTAATAAAAGCATTTATTACTAGCTACATTTTGCTTTTACGATGGTCTTCAGCCTATGGGTAAAAGTATTTAAATATAAAGCACATGCATCCGCTTTGCTCCAGCTGTCTCACAACTAGGAATTGTGTAACCTTGTAATCTTTATTGGTGGTGGAGCAGCAGAACGCCATTTCTGTAATTCATCTTGTAGTTGGAGAAAATTATCATCCGGCTTTTTTTTTTTTTTTCCTTCTTCATCTTGTACAATATATAAACAAAATGAATACCAATCTAACTGTGACCTTATCATCTGCATGGTTTAAAAGGGGATACACGGTGGGCGGGGCCTGACTGCCATGCTGAATGGTTGCATGCAAGAACAGCTCCTGAAATATCTTGATTTATCAGCCTACGAAAGCTAGTCTTCTACCCACTTAACGACTGGAAACGGTGATCCTATACCCAAGGAAGTATTAGCCCAAAGGCAAGGCTTGCACGATGTGTTTTAGTCCCTTGAAGGGACATACTTGTACCCAGATGAGGCCTACTCGGGTGGTTAGTGGAGTGGACGGCCGCTACCCCCCGCTATCCTGCCCGGGTGTGCCATGCTGGACTCCCTAAACTTCACATACCTGGACCTGCCCCTCCCCCCTGGACTGGTGGTGGTTATCCGGGTCCACACCCTGCGGCCCCAACTGCTACAGCAACTCTGAAACCCCACAGCACCTTCATCCTGCAACATAGACCTGGAGTCTCCCACAAAATGGCAAAAGCCGTGCACCCAACAGCCTACTCCAGAAAAGACATTGATCTTCCTGCCTCACGAGATACAAGCTTACCAAACCTAGAGCAGAGGAGGCTGAGGCACACCTACTAATCCCCCCGGGAGACGCTGGCAAGCAGACAAATCTCAGACCCTTTGCTCCCGGCTGCCGACACTCCTCAAATGCTCAAACTTCAGATGGGCAAGAGAGACAAGGGCCGAACATGCACAGCCAGAAAGTGGTGGGAACACTCGTATCAGGCCGGGCTGGTGGTGTTCGGGGGCAACCCCTCATCAGGATGTACCATACACAGCTCATACACGAAACAACCGATGGGACGCATGAAAGACTCAGCAGGCTACCTCATTGCAGCAACGCAACGATTAAGCTTTCATATGGGATACACAGACCGCAGCTTAACCATGATCTACCCCAAAGGGGCATAGGCTGAAAGGGACCTGAGACTCAACACATGCACACCCCTACCCAGATGCATACATGCTGCCTGGTGTTACTTTATTTTTCATTTTCGTTAAGTTTCTCTTGTCTTGTAATCCAATTAAGTGGCGGGAGGCCTTGGAGGTGTATTACTGGTATCTGAAAGTTTCTTAACCCAGTTTACTAGCATGTTTACCTAACCTAACACTTTGTCGCATCTCCATGTCTGACTATTACACCAAAACGGCTTTACAACATTAAGCTTAAGTTGTTTTGGTGAATACAGTGTCCCTTTAATTTAAAAGCAATGCTAGGGGAGTGCCTAATGTGCTTGCAGCACATGCGCGTTCTCCCTGATGTCGGAGGAGGCAGAGCACCGACCCAGCACCAAGGAAGTTCGTTGCTGGAATCAAGCGAGTAAATAAAGGGGTATTAACCATTTATGTTTAACGGGGTGGGAGGACCAGAAGGCACTCTAGTGTTTGGAATGGATTACAGAGATTTGTATTCTTAGCACTATAGAATTCCTTTAAGTCAAGTTTGTTTTGTTGCTTAGAGTATCTATTTAAAGTAACAGCCATTGAGCAGGGAGAATAAACTTCTTATCGTGAAGCATCACAATACAGAATTTCTCAATGAAATGCTGAACGGTGTATCTTCTCAAAAGGGGCTTATTGCATAACATGACCAAAACAGAAGTGGTTGTCACTTTTGCATTTGTTAGAGAGATTTGTTATGAAAAACCCGTGAGGACTGTAGTGGAATTTCTTTGAAATCACAAGATATACAGGAGACAAAAAGACAATGACACCACTTTGTCTCATGTAGGACCTGATTTTTGGCAAAATGTGGCAACAGGTGGAGCCTCAACTGCTACATCTTACCATTTCCTATGGCAGGAATGCATTTATGACATCTTATTTTTGATGCCGTTTTGCTAGATCTTCCATAGACCCTCATGCATCAGCCTCTGTTACAACCAAAACGGTTATGTGCATGAGCTATGAACGTCATCTTAATCAATTACCCTCTCATTCCATTTACACATTAACAGTAGTAACTTTATTTTCTCTGGACATCACTTCCAAATCCCCCCTGCTACCTCTTGTCTCAAATCCCCACAGTAATCTAATCTACCTAGAACTTTGTGTAATAGCGCGTCAATGGCTGGATCTCAGGTCACGGCAGGGCCCTCTATACCATTTGTATTGTCCAGTGTATAGTCTCCCCCCACCCCCTCCTCACAGTTGTACAGTGCTGCACAACATGCTGGTGCTTTATAAATAATAATAATAATAATAATAATAATAATAATAATAATAATAATAATGATACTATGTAGATGCTACAACAAGCTTTGCATCTTTGAAAGAACACTGCAAGTACCATAAGCACTACAACACACTCTAGTGGAGTGTCGTGGTACACCGCCAATTTAATTAGATAATGATCTAACAATATAAAAATTGTACACAAATTTGCAGAATAATAATGAGATTAAGACCTTTTTCTGACGTTTGTATGTTTATTTGAAAACATCTTTTGCAGTGAAATAGTGCATGCTATCTCTGCATTCAAAAGATCAATTAACCTCTTAAGGTGATTGTTCAACTTCTGAACCAAACAAAACAAAAATATGTCTGTATGTGTGATGGAACGGCCTAAATCTAATTATAAAGATTTCCTTGCGGGCAATATTATTGAAAATCAATTTTAAAAGATTAGATAAAAGTGTCATATCAATGTAAAATAATACAACAACAATTTAGCCAAACCCAATAATAAATGGCTAATTTTTTCTGGAGGAGGGTTCAAGCTCCACACAGTATGTACCTGATTCAAACAATGGATTAGTCACTGCAAGAAATATTTCCCAAGAGTGACAACTTGTAAAAGGATCAGCAGTATTAGCTCCAAACACTGGACTTTATGGTTACTGCATAGGCTATTAAAGTCCAAGGAGTGCCGCAGACACCCAAATGACGAAATAAGGTTATAGTCATTGAAATTCCGTGTAAAAAAACAAAACAAAAAAACCACGCTGTGTAAAAATAAAACATTTAGTGTATATGGCGTTCTCAATTTGTGATTATTTTACTCTACTCTTTTTCCTAAATGAAAAGTACTTCTATTGGCTGAACTACACATGGCCATGATAAACATGGCATAGGGATTTGGGCTAGTGCGCATGTAATGCTTTTCTTTGTTTTGTTTTTTTTGTTATATGTATTGGGGCTGATGTGTACTATGGTCATTACTGCTGCCCAGGAGTAGTGGGAGTCTGAGCGCAATCCTTATTTTTGTGTATTTGTAATTGCACTGTATGTCATTTCAGGATTAAATTTAAATCAAGACCTACATGGGTCTTAAATATGTCTAAGTTAATATTTGCTTACAATAGTATTTAAAGATACACTATAAACCATTACCACTACAGTGTGCTGCAGTGGTTATAGTGTCAGGAGTGTCCTGACTCCTCTACCCTATTGGAAGTAGTTTAAGGACCACTATAGGCACCCAGACCACTTCAGCTTAATGAAGTGGTCTGGGTGCCAGGTCCAGCTAGGATTAACCCTTTTTTTCTATAAACATAGCAGTTTCAGAGAAACTGCTATGTTTATAATAGGGTTAATCCAGCCTCTAGTGGCTGTCTCATTGACAGCCGCTAGAGGCGCTTCCGCGCTTCTCACTGTGATTTTCACAGTGAGAAGACGCTAGCGTCAATAGGAAAGCATTGTGAATGCTTTCCTATGGACTGACTGAATGTGCAAGCGGCTCTTGCCGCGCATGCGCATTCGGTGGAGGAGGAGGAGAGTTCCCCGCCCGGCGCTGGAGAAAGAGGTAAGTTTAACCCCTTCCACCCCCTAGAGCCTGGCGGGAGGGGGACCCTGAGGGCGGGGGCTCCCTCAGGGCACTATAGTGCCAGGAAAACGAGTATGTTTTCCTGGCACTATAGTGGTCCTTTAAACCGTTTGCTAATGATCTGACAACTTCCCTAGCATCTGCCAGGCGCAAGTCACTTCTTGCACCACAATCTCAAGCATAGAGCTTCCATGCCGTGCAGGGCCAGCTCAGTGCCTGAGAGAATCAGCTGATCATTCTCAGCCAATGAGCTAAGTCCTGCACTGCTGAGCTAGCTCAGTGCAGAGAGCTCCTGCTCCCAATGAGGAGGTGACCTGCACTTATTTACTTTTAATAGTAACATTTTGTGAGGAATTGTACCAAATGCCTTCACAAAATCCAAATAGTTCACTTTAACTGCAAAAATCTACATGGATTTTTGCATTAAAATCGACAACTACAAAAAAAAAAACACTTCTATTGATCTATTCACAGAACAGAATTAAGTTCATTTTACGATTGACTTTTTTTTATAAAGCTGTGCTGATTCATCCTAATGACGTTGTCTACAATGAATTTCTAAATATAATTCATTAATAGCCCATCATATAATTTCCTAACCATAGATATCTATCTATCGATCACCTTCTAAATTGGACACCCCACTTTTACCAGGGTACTACAGATAAATTGGAAGGATTGTGAACACAGCAGTGAGCGACACTCTTCATGGACAATGATAGGGTTAAACATGGAGACGAGAATCCCCTTATTCATTGTTCTATATCCAGCATGATTTCCTGGACAAATATCTTCATGCGGATATGCAGAATGCATTATTTACCCAAATTTCCCTTCTGTTGCATAAAATGCTACATACTGTGCGATAGTAAAAACAAAGACTATGAGAACTCTGAGAACAGACAAAAGCTTAGACAAACTCAGTAGCTTCCCCTTTGGTAAAAACCCAGCTCAGGTGTCAAAATAAAAAATTTGCTCACTGGTGCCATTACAGAGAGAACATATCTGAAGCATTCCAGACTGGTCCCCCCCTGGAAGGGCAGTTCAGAACCGAAATGCCAGCAAGTTCCCTCTGCACGAGACATACTACAACCGCAGACTTCTTTGGGCATCATCAGTGAGGTGTAGCCATTGCCAATACCCCTCTAGGCACAGTGAGCACGTGGTCTACGTCTGAAATACCCTACTAACATGGGGAGTACATTTCATGTTTTGTTTTTTAGCATGAAGAAGTGATAAGGAGCTTGGGAAAAAACTGTCTGGGTTATTCACTGAAGTAAATTTTTTCAGGGACTCAAAGTGAATTTCAAATCTAAAGTCAAAGCATGGCTGACCTGGAGAATATTTCTTACAGAGCAGGTACTTTGGCCTTAAATTTGAAATTAAATCCTGACAATTCTCACTTTAGTGAACAAGCCTGGCAGCATGTCCTTCAAACCTCTTCTCAGTGTAGACAGTGAAAATAAAGCCATCTTCAGGACATTACCTACTTTGAAAATTCCAATCTAACCCCACAAACTCATTCACAATCTATCAGATTTTAGCAAATTAAATCAGGATGGCAAAATTCAGGCTATTTTAGCCCTATTTTTCCCAGATTTAAAGGGATGCTATAGGCATCAAAAAATTTTAGCATAATGGAACACTAATGTGTATTCCTGACTCTAAAGGTCTAAATACCAATTAAGACCCTGGCCCTGCCTTACCTCTGGTTAAAAAGATGAGTTACTCATCTTTTTTCAGTGCCATGGTGGTCTGGGCACGGCAGGCCCCACTCATGCTCCACCCCCTAGGCAAAGATCATCACACTTGACGATCTCAGCCAAACCAATGCTTTCCCATTGGAAAGCATTGGGAGGCTATCGTTCATGCGCGGCAAAATGCCACGCTGCGCCAATCAGCATCTCCTCATAGAGATACATTGACACAATGCATCTCTAAGGGAAAAGTTCAGCGCTACACACTGTGCAACACTGACCCAGGAAGCACTTCTAGTGACCATATGAATGACTGCCACTGGAGTAAGCCAGGAGTGCCCAAAAGATAGATCCCCAGATGTTTTAAAACTATAGCTTCCATAATGTTTTGCAAGCATTATGGGAGTTGTAGTTCTACAACATCTGGGGATCTACCTTTTGGGCACCCCTTCTCTAGGCTCTAACGTGAACACTGCCTTTTCTCTGAAAATTCAGAGTTTACAGTAAAATGCATGCAGGGACATAGTATACACATCAGAACAATTACATTAGGTTGTAGTTGTTCTGGTGACTCTAGTGTCCCTTTAATGAAGCAGTTTTGGAGTGTAGATCATGTCCCTGCGGTCTCACTGCTCAATTTTCAGTCATTTAGGAATGAAATCACTTTTGTTTCTGTCCTTGCAACAATAGTCACACACTCCTTGGTTGTGCTGACACAGCCTGCACGGAAAAAAATTGATTCATTTTCCATCAGAGCCTAACTTACAGTAGAATTTTTTTTATCTCCTGCTCTATAAATTATACTTTAATCACATACAGGAGGCTCCTGCAGGCTATTAACAGAGCAGGACATTATGAATTAAACAGACTGTGCAAAAAAGGAAGTTTAAGCATTAGATCTCTTTTAACAGGAAATGTGTAGGGAGGTTCTGAGACTCACTTGCAGAGAGATGTGACTAGTGCTGTATAAACAAAGTGATTTACCTCTTATATGGCAGAGAATTAAAGGAATACTCCAGGCACCCAGACCACTTCTGCCCATTAGAGTGGTCTGGGTGCCAACTCCCACTACCCTTAACCATTCAAGTGTAATTATTGCAGTTTTCATAAACTGCAATATTTACCTTGAAGGATTAAGTCCTCCTCTAGTGGCTGTCTACTAGAGGACACTTCCGTGTTCATAGAACACGAAAAGTGTGTTATAGCGTCGCTGGACCTCCTCACGCTATGTGAAGACCTCCAGCGTCGCTGAAATCCCCATAGGAAAGCATTATTCAATACTTTCCTATGGGGAGGTCTAATGCGCGTGCGCGGCACTGCCGCACATGCGCATTAGGTCTCCCCCGCCGCCGGCCGTGCATGCTCAATAGGTCTCCCCCATCGGATGATGATGCCGGGGGAGGACCGTGGGCGGACCCTGACCCAGCGCCGAGAGACATCAGCGCTGGATACAGATAAGTCACTGAAGGGGTTTTAACCCCTTCCGCAACATGGGATGGGGGGTGGGAGGGAGAGGGGACCTGCAGTGCCAGGAAAATGGTTTGTTTTCCTGGCACTGGAGAGTCCCTTTAAGCAGTCAGAGTATAGGGGGGAATGATTTATACACCACAACTGCTCCATTAAGCTAAAGTTGTTTTGGTTCCTATAGTATCCCTTTAAGTCACGGAAATTCAGAGTTCAGTGAATAACCTTGTAAAGTGTAAAATGTAAGGAATTCAAAGTGAATTTAAAATTTTAGGTGAAAATAGTAACATTAACAACAGTCTCCAAGACAGCTGTGTTTTAAGTCCCGCTATTTTGGCCGACAGTTTAGAGAGCACTTTTGAATTACAGGCAATTCACATGTTAGTGGAGGGACAGACCACCACTCAAGATGCTGTGGACTACATCTTCCCTGATGCTTTGCCAGCATGACAGCTGTAAGAGCATGATGGGAAATGTAGTCCACAACATCTGGAGTGCCGAAGGTGCGTGAAAAACCTGGATAGTGACTTTTCACTCTACAGCTGTTCTGCGCTACCCTTCCATTAATAATCTGTATGACCCTCAAGGGAAAAGTAGGCCACAGTTTTTGAAGTGTGTCAAAACCTTGGTCAGGACCACTGCAAATCCTCATCAGCAATTACCATATGTTCACTGTGTTACACAGTAACAGCAAGCATGCAATAAATACTGTGTGTGTGTGTGCTGTGATAAGCCTGGCACATGCCAATAGAAGAAAGGGGGGCATAGAGAGTTTCTACCCCAGATGTTTCAGACAAAAGGCTGGTGTGTGGGAGGTGCTGATGGGGTGGGGGGTAACTTACCTACATCAGGATCAAAAGGGTTGGTGGTAAAGAGAGGCATCTTTCCTGGGGTTGCTGCTATGTAAGGCTTCCAGTAGCAGCACTGCCTGAGATGATGGATTTATGGGAAGGTCTGATACAGTATCCTGTATAAAGCAATCCCTGGATCTCACCCTATCCCAGCTTCTCTCTCCTCTTGCCAAAGAAACAGCAGCATCAGATCTCCAGAGGGTCCACAGAGCAGTTTGGGCTGCTGAGCATGATGGGTAATATAGCTGTCTTCACTGATGCCTGTCAGCCAAACTTCCCATTCAAAAGCTCACTGAATACTATTACAGGCGGGGATTGGGAGTCAGGCTGTCTCCTAACGTTCCATTCGGAATCCTCGCCGGCCTCTTATAAACAATGTAACAGCAAGCAGAGGAAATAAAATGACTGAGGAGAGAGCTTGTCCCTACATCCCTAAGCCCAGGCAGAGAATGGGAGTTGTGTGGCACTCCCTAGGGCTGCCATGGCTTTGCACATGCCCAGTAAGGAAGGCAGGGCTATAGCAGGAGGAAAGCCCTCCTCACACATTCCCATGTAAACATTGTTAAAAGAACAAGCAGTAACATTGTAGCAGGATCAGCTATTATTAGTTTACCCAGAGTGACATATAATGACCATTCCTGGTCTATATACTACAATTATTCATGATGAATACTTGCAATTCATTATATATGGTCCTTATTATTTATTTATTAGTGTGTATTGTGTTTTTGTTGGTGATGAGCAGGATGAGCTATGGGTCATGTGGCAGCATGGAGGGTGGGGTTGGGGATGTGAAGAAAGGAGAATGACTGTGTATATTATGTCAGATCTGTAAGAATGGGCTCTGTCCTCCCAGGAGCTGAGTCAGAGTCATGTGCGCCTTCTCTCCAAGATTACATTGTCACTTCCCTGGTAATTATACCGCCCCTTTCATTGGAGATGTTTTAGTAAATATGCATCCTGCAGGACAGCCCTACAGCTATATTTTTTTGTTTGTAGATTGGATTAGCCGTATTAGTCCAGTAGACAAGATGCCAAAATACCAGAGTATTGCAGTATGCAATGGTACCTTTTTTATTGGACCAGCATAATATTTCAAAGACAAGGTTTAGAGAGTTTTCCTCTCTTCCTCAGGTCTCAAGCATGGTGTCTTAGGGTGACTAAGCTGTCCCTTTAACTGATTAATCACAAAGTTAAATAATTCATCTCCTGTTCCATATATAAGTACTGTACTTTTCCCAATTGTACAGCGCTGTTTATTACTGGCATTTATAAAGCACCAACATACATACTGGTATTCCACAGCGATATACAATTGGGAAAAGGATAGTACATTCATATGGAACAGAAGAGGAATTATTTAACTTTGTGATTAATATGTTAAAGGGACAGCTTAGTCACCCTAAGACACCATAACAACTTCATCTACTTAAAATCACCATAACTTTCTTTAAACTATTTCTCTACTGCAGCCTGTGAATTCAGCATTCTATTACGTTTTCCTCCGAAAATAAGCCCTAGCTTATTTTTAGGGGATGCTCATAATATAAGCCCTACCCCAAAAATAATCCCTAGTGGAGATCATTGCTAGTTCACTAATCTATGTTTGGGGAATTTCCCCTGAACATAGATTTGTGGGATTCCATGCGTTAGGAAGCTAATCTATGTTCCCCTGAACGTATACCTGCTTTCTTGCACTTGCTTGCTACCATTTTACCCCGAAAACTAAGACATCCACCGAAAATAAACCATAGTCCGTTTTTTAGAGCAAAAATTTATATAAGACCTGGTTTTATTTTCAGGGAAAAACGGTAGCAGCTATTATGCAGTGCCAACAGGCATTTAATTTTATTCCCCAGCAAAGCTTGGTGGATCTGGCAAATATTCCCCCATTATAAGGGCTTAGTTACCCTGCTAAAATGATTAAAGGGACACTATAGTCACCCAGACCACTTCAGCTCAATGAAGTGGTCTGGGTGCCAGGTCACTCAGGTTTTAACCCTTCAGAAGCAAACATAGCAGAGAAACTGCTATGTTTACATATGGGGTTAAGCCAGCCACTAGAGGCGCATCTGCGACGCTGGAGGCATATTATTATTTTTTTTAAAGCTTTTATTGGATTTTCAAGAATAATCACAGTCATATTGAAAGGGTACATAAGACGGAAAAAGGGGAGAGGATGTATGCAGTTACATCCAGGGTGACAACTGACATCTTGTTAATAAGATGCATTTTTGAATAGATACAGTTTGGAGTATATACAGTATAAAATAGGTACAGCTTTGCAGGAAGCATACATTTGTTATCATAGCTCTTGAAGCTGAATGACAAATTGAGACTAGCACTGAGGTCTAGACTGAGACTGGACGTTGTCCTTTATCTGGACCTGTCGTTAACTCGGGGAGAGTAATCCTGATTATCGCTGTGGTTTTTGTGTAGTATAGTGTTACTGTGTGGTCTAGTGTTGTGATTTGTCCTGCCCTATCCACATGTTTGCGAATGTGTCATATCTAGACCAGTGATTGTCAACTGAGGTGGTAGTCCTGTGCCAGTATATGTGGCACGCAGCTGAGTTGGAGAGTATCCAGTGGCCTTTGTAGTGATGTAGGCCGCTCAGTCTGGTCATTGCAAGTGGTTGTGTGCGTTAGATGTGTCTCATTGCTTACCCGTGTTGCAGGAGGCCCTTTTGGTATGGAATCTCCGTATGAGAGGGTGTGAGCTACAGGTAGTCAAACTGAGTCCTCGGCTATGAATCTCACCCATGGATCCCATGATTCCCTGAAAAGTGTGTATCTGTGGGAGACGGAGGAGTGAATCTCTTCCATGGTTTTGATTGAGTCTACTTTAGCTACCCATTCCCTGATTGTGGGGACTTCAGGATTTTTCCATTTCACAGGGATGAGCAGATTGGCTGCAGTACGGAGATGTGTCAGGAGCGCTTTCTGCGTCTTAAGGATTGAGGTAGGTAGGATCAGGAACAGCAGAGTGTGTGGGGTATGCGGTAGTTGGGTACCCGTCACAGTGTTGATCATTTTGACAATGTTAGTCCAGTACTTTTGCGTGAGCGGACAGTGCCACCAGATGTGTGCGAGGGACGCCTTTGGCTGGGAACATTTCCAACAGACATCTGGCGTGCCTGGAAAGATGTTGTGGATTTTGGCCGGGGAATAATGCCACCTGGATATTCTCTTGTATCCACCTTCTTGTACCTTGGTGCATATGGATGCCGTGTGTATTTGTGATAGGGCAGTCCGCCATTGTGGTGTCGTGATCTGTATATTCAGGTCTGTTAACCAGGTGTCTGTGAAGGGGGGTAGCTGGGCACCATGGTCGGCCTGCAGGATTTTGTAGAAGGTCGATAACTGTTTCATTTTGACGTTACGGGTCAGGCATTGTGTCTCAAAATCAGTTAGGGTGCGGGGGCCCTTGAGTAAGGTTGCGTTGGCCATTAGAAAATGGATCAGCTGGGCATAACGAAACACTTGTGTCTGCGTAGCCTCAGGGCCCACCAGACTAGCCAGTGTCCGTATGGAGTCACTCTCGACCACCGAGCCTAGCGTCAGGTAGAGAGCGTCAAGTGTTTTATTGTATCATTGGTACGTCCCAGGTTGCATTCCTGGAGGGAAGAGTGGGTTGTACGTGATGGAAAAAAGGGGGGATGGGTGGGGAGAAATACTCCTAGTCTCTCGCATGTTTGTCCATGTCCTGAGTGTAGGGAAGATGGTGGGGTGGGCGGAGCAGTATGAGAGCAGTTTTGAGGGGGTGCTTCTCTGCCATGGGAGTGTATAGAGAGGTACTAGGCTTACCGCGCTTTCGAGGGCTACCCATTGACGCGTCGGTGGGTGTGCGGACCAGTCGTAAATTCTGGAAAGAATGACTGCCTTGTAGTATCTTTCCATGTGTGGGAGGCCCAATCCTCCGCAGGATCTGTGTCTGGTGAGAACCTCATATGAGATTCTAGGTTGTTTCTGTGCCCAGATAAAGGTGGTGAGGTGCCTGAGCTTAGTGAAGAAGGACTTGGGTATAGCTATGGGCAAGGTTTGGAAGAGGTAGAGTATCTTAGGAAGAGAGTTCCTTTTAAGAATGTTGATTCTACAGAGCCAAGAGAACTGCGGTTTATGCTAGGCTTGTAGGTCTTTTGAGATGGCTTGGTACAACGGGTCATAGTTCAGGGCATATATGGAGGATAGATCTGCCGATAGGCGAATTCCTAGATACTTAATGGATTTGTCTGCCCATGTGAATGGGAATGCGGCTTGCAGATATGTGCATGGGGGGGAGTAATTTGAAGTAGTAATATTTCGCTTTTTGAGAAGTTAACTTGAAAATTGGAGAGCTTATTATACAGGCTGATTTCTTCTAGGAGGGGGGTAGCGAGGTGGTTGGTGTTTGTATGGTGAAGAGTAGATCGTCAGCGAATGCTGAGATTTTGTACTCTGCGTTTTGTATTTGGATGCCCTTGATGTCTGGGTTGTTCCTGACTCCATTTAAGAAGGGTTCTAGTACGATAATAAAGAGAAGGGGGGAAAGGAGGCAACCCTGTCTTGTGCCGTTTCAAATGTGTACTGGTTCTGAGAGTTGTCCGCTGACTCTTAGACGGGCCGTGGGAGTAGAGTAGATGGCCTCCATCCACTCCAGCCACCGGGGTCCGAATCCTAGCCTGCGCAGGGTGGCTGTCAGTAGTGACCAGTCCTCCCTGTCAAATGCCTTTTCCGTGTCAATTGAGAGTAAGAGGCTCTCAGTCTGCAGGCATTTTGCCAGGTATATCAGATTTAAAATTTTTGTTGTGTTATGTTTTGCTTCTCTGTTAGGGACGAAGCCCGCTTGGTCGGGATGTATCAAGGTTTGAAGCAGTGGTTTCAAGCGGGTGGCTAGTATTTTCGTAAATATTTTCACGTCTAGATTTATTAGGGAGATTGGGCGGTAACTACCGCAGTTGGTCGGGTCTTTACCAGATTTGGGTATGAGGGCTATGTGGGCCTCCAAAGATACCGTAGGGAAGGTAGCAGAGTGAGCGAGGGAGTTAAATGCATGAGTGAAGGGTTCAGATAAAGAGATTGTGAACGTCTTGTAGTATTTGGCTGTAAAGCCATCGGGCCCTGGGCTCTTCCCCAGTTTGAGGTGCCGAATAGCTAAGGCAACTTCGTCAGAAGATATTGGTGCTTCTAGTGTTGGAAGGGCATTTGCGGGGATAGTCTGGTGGACCCTATTAATCAGGAAGTGTTCAATGTCTTTGACCGGAGGAGGAGAGTCTATCAGGTTGTAAAGCTTGGTGTAGAAGTTGTGGAAGGCTGCCAGTATGTCTGGAAGTTTATATGACACAGCTCTTGAGGGGGTTTTGATTTTGGAGATGAATCTCGACTGCCTTTGTTGTTTAAGGGAGTTTGCTAACAGGCGACCACATTTGCCTCCGTGGGCATAGTAAGAGTGCTTTGTTAACATAATTGTGCGCTTAATTTTAGTATTTAGTATGT